GCCCCATCCCACCTACACAGACCTTTCCTCGCATCACGCATCTTCTCAGGGCAGAATCCAGGAGGCCCCCAAGCTGACCCACCTGTGATCGGGAGCAGGGATGGGCTCCAGTGAACTGGATGGCAACCAACACACGAGTTGGAGGGGGCACGGGGCAGGACGGCCTTCAGAAACATTTGTGTTGAGCTGTTTTCTTCCTTTCTTCACTTAGGCAAGTTCTACCAAGCTGTTGAGTTTGCCAGTGTTATTTCCGGGTTCTGTTTGGCCCAATTTCCAAGGGTTTCAGTATTTAATGTCTAAAGCATTTCTCTCTCTGAAAAGATATACCTCCTGCGTGTCAACACAAATGTTTCTGAAGCGGCTTTGGGGGAGTTTTATGGGAACCTAGGAGATTTGTAGCAGCGACACCCTTAATTTCCAAACCCAGGGCAGATTATCACTGATAATTCTTGGTCAGTGGAAAGCAGATGGCCAGCCAGACCTTCACAGTTGGTGCCTCTGCATCTACACGTGGCTACACAGGTTAGCACAAGGGATGCTCAAGAAAACTGCCCTCCACTTCAGTCCTCAAGAGCTTTGAGCTTTCCTCCCCAACCTCCAGAGGCAGGGCATCCTTCTTCGCTGAGTTACTTCCCACCAATCCCCAAACAAAAGGCAAATATACACACCTGCCAACGCGTGGGATCCACGCTCTTCCCCTCCCATCCACGCCTCCCCTCTCAAAAATCATAATGAAAAATAGAAAAGAAAACGAGAGAGGTGTAAGAACTGCAAAAAGGTTTAGGAAAAGAGTTTCTAAATTGCTTAAAACCCCACCGACAGGAACTGCAGCCCAACGAGAGGAAGAAAATGTTGACAGGTCTGAATATTTTTCCACCTTTGCCACCGATGAAGTGAAGTTTCCATTTGATGATACCAGGGTTTTTGGGGTTTTTTGGTTTTCTTTTTTTTTTTCTTAGGGTTCATTAATAGAAAAGCAATCTTAAGACTTAGAAGTCCTATGCTTCTTTCCTCCTCTTCTCTTGACCTTACGTGAAAACAGGGTATATTTGAACAAATGGAATGTCCTCCAATGGAAGCAGAAGTGAATGGATCTCTAGGATTTGCTAATGCTTTATTGTCTGGACATCTTTGTTGCACTTAGAGTTTACATATAATGGGTATAAAAACAAGTTTGAAGGGCGTTCATTGAACTCAGTCGAGACGTCCTTCAATAGGTGTGTGTTCTGGTGAACATTCATATATATTTATTGGTTATAGCCAGTTTAAAATATTTTCCTTTTTGTATTATTTATCCCCAATATTATGTATTTATATGAGGGAAAAAAAAAAAAAGAATCAAATTGTACTTTTTTAGTATTTACTTGTTATAAAGGACATTGTGTTTCCTTGTCATTGTACAACAAGCTTATTTTAGTTACTGTAATTTAGAAAGACGAGTAGTTTTATGTTACCTTCGTACTTATGAATAATGTAATTAGTTCTACTGGAGGCATGAGAGCAGAACCAGACTGTAATTGTATAGTCCTGAATTAGAAGAACTATAGCTAATCCCTCCCTCCCATCTTGCCCCTCCTCTTTGGAGATCTTTCTTTGTTCTTATAGTAGTTATTTTATTTCCTTGCTTAAGGGTTGTCTGTTGAACAATTCTTGAATAAACTTTCTGTTATCAATTTCATCTCGTCCTAGCAGTTGGATTTAAAAGCAGGAAGAGGAAAGGGATAAAGGATAAAGGAAAAGGATAAAGGAAAAGGAAAAAGAAAAAAATAAAGGAAACAGGGAAAAAGGGAAAAGAGGGAAGAAAAGATATAAGAGGGAAAAGGGAAAAAAAGGAAAAAGGAAAAGGGAAAAAAAGAAGAAAAAGGGGAGCAGAAAAAGGGAAAAGGAATAAGAAAAAGAAGAAGAAGAAAAGGAAAAAGAAGAAGAAAAAGAAGAGAAAGAGAGAGAAAGAGGGAGAAAAAGAAAAAAGGAAAAAGAAAAAAAGAAAAAAAAAGAAAAAAAGAAAAAAAGAAAAAAAAAGAAAAAAAGAAAAAAAAAGAAAAAAAAAAGAAAAAAAAAGGGAATGGAAAAAAAAAAAGGAAAAGGAAAGGAAAAAGAAAAAAAAAGAAAAAGGAAAGGAAAAAGAAAAAAGGAAAAAGGAAAAAGGAAAGGAAAAGGAAAAAGAAAAAAAAATAAAGAAAGAAAGGAAGGAAAGAGAGAAAAGAAGAGCGCTGCAGACCAGGCCGGGGAGCGGAGCGGCCCACGCCGTTCGCAGAGGCCGAGATTTGGGGCCGCCCCGCTCCGCGCCCCCCCCCCGCACCCGCGGTCACAAAGCGGGGTCACGTGGCGCGGAGGCCGAGCCGCCATTGGGCCGTAAATGAAAACAAAGGAAAATGATTAATCGCGCACAAAATATTACTAATAATGAAAGAAAATGGCCCGAGTTTCCACGCAGGGATTTTAAAGGGGGTTTGCCGTGTGTGCACACGCGTGCATGCACACGCACGGCGATGGTCACGCGTGCACAAGCACCAGCACACGTACCTTCATGCAAGCACGCTGGAAATTGTCATTAAGAGAAAGAAAGCTGCTGTGAAGGGCTGCAACGTAGGAGCCAGCAATGGGGGGAGCGGCCCTTGGCAGCAGCAAGGATCACACTGCGCAAAATTCGGGTTTTTATGCTCCAAAGCCTTAAGAAAACTTATATGAAAGCAGCGAGGGGCAGTATAAGTTTTACGGCTCTGGAAAATGGGGTGGGGGGAGCTGATGTCAGATTGGAGATGCTCCGATGTTGGGGGATATGGAGGGAGGGAAAGGCTGGGCAGGACTTAGCCGGTGTGGGTGTGTGTAAATGTGAGCGTGTGCACTGTCCGTGGATTTGCACACAGGTTTGCACACTCAGGAGCAGCCGTGGGTGTCTGAATAACTCCCCCCCCCCCCCCCTCCATCCCCCCCAGGTGAAATTGTGGAGAGGAGAGAGATTTCCATGAGAAACGATCTCTTCTTTCTCCCTCTCTCCGATCTCGCTTAATAAATGAAGTTCCAGGTTAATAATTATAACCTTCGCGCAATAATAAATAGCGGTATGAAAGAAAGACGGGGCTTGTTTTTCTCCCAAGACCTGTTCTCGATTCTGCCCATCCATGCAGAGAGCAATTTACCATTCGAGGATACTATAATTTAGAAGCATAAAAGCGTTGCAATCGCTGATCGGGATCGGGGCAAATAAAAGGCTCAGGCAGTGGCTTCTCGCCCCCCTCCTCCCCCGCTCCCTCTTTGCTGAATACCATTTTCTCGATCCCACAACCCAATCCGGTTTTGTATCAGGGTTCCCCAGCATCTAGTTAAGGATCCTTAAGGAGAACTCAAGGCGATGCTCGGGGCAAGGAACCGCTCTTGCTTTTTCCAGTCGCTTCTGCACGGACTCCTGCAAATCTCCGCATCTTCACGTTCCGTCTGGGCCGCTCTACGAGGGGAGCAGACCCGGCTTTGCCCCGCAGTGATCGCATCTCCCAACCGCTCCCGAGCCGTGGGAATCGCTTCCCATCAGGCTATGTATGCCCTCCCCCCGCCCAGAGCTCACAGAGCACAGAGCTCGTGGGAAAAGAGTCGGCTCTTTCCTCGAGAGATGCCGTTCTCTTGTCTTGTTTTGTTTTATTTTGCAGCTTTGGTGTTAGCAAAAGCAGCGGAACCAGCTGAGGGCGGCTGGGAAAATGTTTCCTTTTGCATCCCCAACTCTTTGGCTGCACCGCAGCCTGGAAGCGAACCACTCCCAGTGATAAACCCCGAACTCCTCTACACGCGTTTCCATCCAAATCAATAAGAAAAGATCCCAAACCAAACTCTGAATTCGTACTTCTGCCCTCGTCTGATGAGATTTACGTTTGTTTCCATGAGCGCATACAGGAACCGTTAAACATTGAAGGAAACCCTCCTAAACCCCCAAAGCCTTCAATCCAACCTCGTTTTGTATTCGTATCATTCTTTAATTTGGTTTTACCCCTTTGCCAAACTGCGCTTGGATCGCCGCTTCAGCTTCATTATTATGTGGTCCCTCTGATTCCCTCCCCACCCACACGGATGCTTGAAGTGACAAAAGTTTCTAGGCTTCTCCCCGTGTGAATGCAGCCTGCCGGCCCTCGCCTGCTGCAAAAAAATGGGAGAAGTGGAGCTTGAACAAACACATACGAGCCACCCCAACTTCCATTTTGCAGCAGATAACTTCTTTTTTTTACCACCCCCCCTCACCTCCCACCCCAAGCAATGGTTACATTCTACACTTCCCGAATTCAGACCCCTGGGTTAAACTTTTTTTTTCTTTCTTTCTTTTTTTTTTGGCTCTTGATTTTGCATTGAGTGACTCCTTTGCTAAAGACAAAATTCTTTGCTGAGTGCGCCGGGCTGAGCTGTCAAATTCATTCGAGAAAAAAAAGAAAAGGGAAGAAAAGGGAAGAAAAGGGAAGAAAAAGGAAGAGAAGAGAAGAGAAGAGAAGAGAAGAGAAGAGAAGAGAAGAGAAGAGAAGAGAAGAGAAGAGAAGAGAAGAGAAGAGAAGAGAAGAGAAGAGAAGAGAAAAGAAAAGAAAAGAAAAGAAAAGAAAAGAAAAGAAAAGAAAAGAAAAGAAAAGAAAAGAAAAGAAAAGAAAAGAAAAGAAAAGAAAAGAAAAGAAAAGAAAAGAAAAGAAAAGAAAAGAAAAGAAAAGAAAAGAAAAGAAAAGAAAAGAAAAGAAAAGAAAAGAAAAGAAAAGAAAAGAAAAGAAAAGAAAAGAAAAGAAAAAAGGAAAAGAAAAGAAAAGGAAAAGAAAAGAAAAGGAAAAGAAAAGAAAAGAAAAGGAAAAGAACAAGATTGATTGTTTCTCTCTTCTTTTCGGGTTGTATGGATTTCGGCCACTTTGAAAGAAACGATCTTCCTGGGAAGTGACTTTTCGCTTTATTTATTTATTTGGTAAACTCTGGAAGTGGAGCCGTTTATTGGCAAGGGGAAACGGGGAGGGAGGGGAGAAATATAAGATGGGAAGGAAAGAGATGTGATTTCAGAGATATCCATGACCTTAAAAACACGTTTGGCCTTTAAGGAAAGTGCCAAGGATCCATTAAGTGTCGCTTTAGAGGCAGAAGGATTACGCTGCTTCTTTACAAGTCGTTTCAGGAGCTAAATCGGGCCGGTCTGACTTCACTTGACTTGAAAGCTCACTTGATTTCCTAAGTGCCTCATAGCCGGGCTCAGACAGACCTTGCTCATGCGAACTTCTGAAGCTCGGCGATGTATTTATGGCATTCAAATACCCCCAGGCAGCTCGCCTGCGGTTCGGACCGCTTTCTTCCCGGCTGCATGAGGGCATTTCGGGCTGGCAGCGCCGCTTTTCCCACGCCTGCAACCCCCCGGGGGGGTGCGAACTTTGTGGAGATGAGCAAATGGCAGAGGCGGAGATGGGCAGAGCTGGCAAGGCCAGGAAGTTCCACGCAGCACCAGGCAGTGCTGCCAGCACTGAGCAGCACCCAGCACTGCAGGTAGGAATGAGCAGCACCCAGCAATGCATGCAGCACCCAGCAGTGCAAGTAGGAATGAGCAGCACCCAGCAATGCATGCAGCACCCAGCAGCACCCAGCAGTGCAGGTCGGAATGAGCAGCACCCAGCAATGCATGCAGCACCCAGCAATGCATGCAGCACCCAGCAGCACCCAGCAGTGCAAACAGAACTGAGCAGCATTCAGCAGTGCAGGTAGAAATAAGAAGCAGCAGGCAGTGCATGCAGCACCCAGCAGCACCTAGCAATGCAGGCAGAACTGAGCTGTGCAAGCAGCACCATATAGTACCATGGAGCACCCAGTACTGCAGGCAGCACCAAGCAACACCAAGCAGTGCAAGAAATACTAAACAGAACCACACAGCACCCAGAAGTGCGTGCAGAACTGAGCAGCACCCAGCAGCTCAGACAGCATCAAGCAGCACCAAACAGCACCCAGCAACCCCAGGCAGTGCCAAGCAGCACCCAGCAGCCCCAGCCAGCATTTCCCTGCCTGCTGGCCCCACCGAACCACCCTGCATCTCTCTGCTAGCAGAGGAGCGATGGCAGGGATCCTTTCCTGGGGATCTTCTCTCTCGCCTTCTTCTTCTTCTTCTTTTTTTTTAATCAATTAAAGAAAATAATGCTTTCTGTTTGCCACCAGGCCCCGCCTGCCATTGGCCAGGGGTGGCCACGTGACCAGGAATTGGCTGCAATTTCGCCCCAGTCTCGAGTTTAATAGAGCAAGGTCCCCATACGCCTGTATTATCAGCAATATAACAATTATAAAAAGCCCGAGAACCATCATCATCACTGCCATAAAAACTGAGGCCCTTCGATTTCTTCCTCTCTTCCCCTCCTCCTTCCTCCCCCCCTCCCGCTTTTTAAACCCTGGGCCCTGGAAAAGCCATGAATTTTGAATTTGAGAGGGAGATCGGGTTTATAAATAGCCAGCCTTCGCTCGCAGAGTGCCTGACGTCTCTTCCCGCTGTCCTGGAGACATTTCAAACTTCATCAATCAAGGACTCGACATTAATTCCTCCTCCTTTCGAGCAAACCGTCTTCAGCCTGAATCCTTGTTCCAGCAGCCAGGCAAGACAGAGGAGCCAAAAAAGAGCATCCCATGGCCTGCTCCAGCCTCAACCTCCGGCACAGCCCGGCCCTTTGGCAGCGGAATTCCCTTGGATGAAGGAGAAGAAATCGTCCAAGAAAACCACCCAGGCTCCATCCTCATCTTCCTCTTCTTTCCCCCCATCATCTTCCTCGGTGCCGATCCCCGCCGCAGGATCTCCTGCAGGTTCGTATAATGAGGGGCTGAGGGGTTGTTGGCTGAAATCGGAGAGGATCCGAATTATAAACGATCCCCGTCCCACCAGCAGCCCTACCCGCCCTCCCCCCCCTCTCTCCCCCCCCCAGCAGACTTTGCCCCGCACCTCTCCCAAACTGTGTCACGCAATAAAATACACCGCAGCAATGCACACAGCCGGGGAAGGGGGGGGGGGGGGGGGTATGAGAAGGGGGGAGAGAGAGGGGGGGAATTTATACTGCCTCCTCCCCCCCTGCAAATAAAAGAGCAATTTGCTGCAACTTCTGTGAAAGCGAAGAGGGAGAGATTTCAGGGGAAGCCGGGCTTTTTATTAGCTACAGAGGGAGGATTTGGCAGCTGAGCCACGGCTCCATTTTCTTGGCTTCCTCTGCCAGCCTCGAATTCTTTTACAACCTACAGGGGGAATAAAAAAAAATAAAAATCGAACGAAAGAAAAGTGGAGAAGGAAAAGAAAGACGGGTGGGTAATGCGGGGATGCTGCGGGCTAGATGAGGAGGCAGAAGGAGAGCGAACAGAACTCCCCGAGCATCCGAGGCAGTGGGAAGAGCCAGATCCCTATTGCAAAAATAAACGAATGGATAGATAGGAACACCCAACCCCCCCAGCCCTCGGATAAATGAATGTCTTCCCTCCGAAGCTCTGTTTGGATAAGGAGCTCGGCAGATCCGGCCAGGGATCCTCCTTCCCCGGGGACAAAATGTTTGAGGCTCAATTCGCTGCTTGGGTATTTTTGTAGCACCGCTCAGGTAAAAGTACGTTCAGGCAGAAGGGCGGATATCAGAGCTCACTGATCAGATAACGCAGGAATAATGAAATCAAAGCTCCGCAGGGTCAGTCCTTATCTACTGGCTTTAAAATAATAAGAAAAAAAATTACAAATTAAAAATAAAGGCGAGGGGGTAGAAGGAAAGGATCGAAATTCCCCGTATCTGAAAAGAAGGCAGGGAAGGAAGGTGTCTAAAGGGAGAGGCCAGGGAGCAAAATCCTTTCTCCTCCTTGGGACAAGGCTACAAGAAAGCGATTTCCAACCCTCATCCCCGTTGGAAGAGAGCAATTAAACGTTTACTTTCTTTCGTAGCGGCTCCCCAACCCCCCACCTCCTCCCGATGGGTACCGTGGGGGCACGCTGAGCTCTGCCCGTGGTGAGGGGGGAGAGGGGGGGGCGGCTCCGTCCCTTCCATCCTCTCCCCGGCCCCGCTCCCTCCCCGCAATGTGAGGTTTTGTGTGTTTAAGACACGCAGGGGTTGGCAGACAGCAGCGGCTCTAGGCGGCTCCGGACAGCTTACACCAACACACAGCTCCTGGAGCTGGAGAAGGAATTCCACTTCAACAAATACCTCTGCAGGCCCCGTCGGGTAGAAATTGCGGCTTTGCTCGATCTGACCGAACGACAAGTTAAAGTATGGTTCCAGAACCGCAGGATGAAGCATAAGAGGCAAACACAATACAAAGATCCCCCCGACGGGGACATCGCTTACCCAGGGCTGGATGAGGGCAGCGAAGCCACGGATGAGGCCGAGGAAAGCCCCTTATTGGGGCCGTGCCCGGGGCCGTACCGGGGTGCGCAGCCCGAGCAGCCCCGCAGCCCTCGGGGCACCGATCGGCCCGGACCCCCCCCCTCGGATCTCAGCTTTCCCGAGAGCCAGGGCTCGCCTTGGTTGCCGGAACTCAGCATCCTCTCGGCAGAATCTTGCTTGCAGCTCTCCCCCTCTCTTCAGGATTCTTTGGAGAGCCCCCTCCATTTCTCGGAGGAAGATCTGGACTTTTTTACCAGCGCACTTTGTACCATAGATCTGCAGCACTTCAATTTCCAATAGCGTCCCCGTTTGTCTCTCTGTCTCTTTTTTTTTTTGGTCCCTTTCTGCCCCACCCCGAGCCGCTTCAGCTCTTCAGACGGGAGGGGGTCACCCCCAAAACAAACCCAAATCACCCCCCTTTCAATCAGCAATCGGACATTCTAAAGCTCTTCACTTTGAGGGATCCGAATCGCAGCCGCACTATTTATTTTAGAAGGCTCGCATAAAAGAGCTTTTTACATTTAAAATATAAATTAGGAGCTAAGTGATAGGCTTTTTCCTTATTTATTTTAAAGGAAGCACCCAATAGTTTCCATGCGCATCAGAGATGACCGCCCTCGAGAGAAAACAATTGCGAACCCTTCAAGCGACTTTCTCAGGAATCAGAATGAGACTTTTAGATTTCTTAAGGAAATAATAACGAGAAGAACAGAGGAATTTTCGTTCCTCCTTTTTAAGTTTTAGATGTAGATTATTTATTCAAATCCTTTAATAGCAAATGGCAAATTATTTATTGTACATTATTTTCATAGAGGAAATAAATGCCTTTATAAAAGCGAGGGAAGCGCGTTGCTGAGTGTTTCGTTTGAAATGGTTTGTTGGCCTGAATCAATCTCCTTCCCTGATCTTCAGCAATTTGACTTCTGTTGGTGTGCATCGAAAGAGGAAAGACAAAAGGGAATCGTAGCAGCCAACAATCCTTAAGGCTTCGCGAGTCGGAGCCCGCGTTTTCCTTCAGCGCCGTTCATAATAATAATAGTAATTATTATTATTATTATTATTATTGTGACGATCTGGGGAAAGGAATCGAAGAGGGGAGTTGGTTTCCAATGATTCCCGTTGGGTTTTTGTCAGTGCAGAGCGGTGCAGAGGCGGAGGGTGCGGGGCACAAAGGCAGCAAGCGCAGCCCCCGCACATTCCGTTCCCGCATCCCACGGCTCTCCCAGCTCTGCAGCAGCAAATGCCGACGAGAGGCGATTGTCGGCGTTATCAACGTCCTGGTCAGGCAAAAAGTTAAGAAGGAAACGTCGTAAAGGGTTTAGGATGGGTACAAAACGTGGGTGACAGCATTCTGATCAACACAGAAATGCTATAGAGGGGAAAGAGATGAGCCAGAAAGAGGCCTTTCTTTTTCTTTCCTCTTTTTCTTTTTCTTTTTTTCCCCTTTCTTTTTTTTCCCTTTCCGCCCCCTTTCCTTTCTTTTCCCTTCCTTTCTTTTCCCTTCCTTTCTTTTTCTTTCCTTTCCTTTCTCCTCTCCTTTCCTCCACGAAAAACCAAACCCCATTGATGTAGCCCGGCCTGGTAAATCTGTTGTCTCCATGCACAACGATTTGTGTTTCTCTCTCCCGGTTCGCGGCTCTCTTTCCGAAAGCTTTCTCGCAACGTGTGATTTTAAACACAAAACTCATATATCAAGGAGGGGGGGCGAGGCAGAGGGGGTGGGGGAGGCTTATGAATGAAAAGGGGTCAGCGCAGGAATCAATCGCGGTGACACCCAAAATAAATCATATTACGTCTTTGCTAAGTCACCGGTGTTTCCTCGCACACGGCAGAAATTCGGCGGCTGTTTCGGAGCGATGGGAGAACAGAGAGGAAAATCAAGGGGGGGGTGGAATGGAGGGGCAGCCCTGGGGCGGCCGGAGCGGAGCGGAGCAGCGGGGCTCGGCCGTTTGCTGTACCGATGGGCTCTGCTGGGGGCCGTACAGCGTTGAGTCGGATGCTGTCACCCCCCTCACCCCCCTTCCACCCCTCCTTAAGGGTGTGCGAAACTCGTGTGCTCCCCTCCGTGTTTTAATACGTAAGGAGCACCACAGTCAGGCTTGTTTCCAGCTTCGAGAGGTGAAAAGGAATAAAAAGAAAGAAAGAAAGGAAGGAAGGAAAAAAAAAAAAACCGCCCTCCACAGATATTTGCGAAATTGCTGTTCGAAATGCTGGATGATCGCTTCCCGTCGGAACAAAGGGAGGTTTGGTTTTAAGGCCTCCTCTTCGTTCCTACCCGACATCGCTACCCTTCTTTCCCAACCGAACGAGCGGACGTTTCCACCCTGCTCACATCTCTCTCCGGGATGGAGTGTGTTTATACTGAAAATCGAAGTAGACCGCAATTAAAACATGCAAGCGAACGTTACTGAGCATCCTCCCATAACAAAGAGCAGCGCCCGATGCCGTCCCAGCCCCCGCACCGCGATCCGAAGCCACGAGGAGGGGGAGGGGGTGCAGGGTTTGGGGGGGGGGGGAGGGGGGGCTGGGAAGATCGCAACCCTACAGAAGGCTATTCATTATCTTTAAGTTTATTTAATATCTCCAGCTTCTGGAACATACTCAGCGGCAGCGTTGGCACTGCCAGACGTTGTCTATCAAAGCGCCATTTGTTCCAGCGCTTTACATATTTCCCCTCTCTCCTCCCCCGCCCCCCACGGCCTTGAATACAGGCTTGTTGAGGGGAGGAAAGGGCCGACCATCAGATGGTCCCTCGGCCCCTCCGAGAGCCCCGCTCAGCCCCCGCTCCGGCCCCAGGGCAGGAGCCGCTCCGCCGTGCTTTATTTTGCCTCGTGTGTTCGCGCATCTCACGAAACCTCCCAAGAGAAGGGAGCTCCTGGTTCGACTTAAACACACATACACGCACGCACGCACACATCTCTCATTTGGCGAATCAATTTTGCAGCGGATTTCCACGAGAGCAGCCGCCCTTCCCGTGTGGAAGGGAGGAGGGGAAGCGAGAGGAGAAGGGGAGGGGACAGCAGGGCCAACACCTTCCCCTCCAGGATGCCCTTTAGGGACTGCTAGGAGACGGCCTTCCCCTTAATGTCCACGCAGGGTGGGATGGAGTGGGGCGTGGGGAAAGGGGGGGGGGGTCCCACGAACCCACCGAACAAACCCTGACACCTTATCAATACAAATCTCTAACGAGGGGCCTTCTGCAGATCGTAATGACTTCTCGAAGTTGCTGCAGGTCTGGAAAGCGTGCCAGTCACAGCCACAGATCAATTCTACACCCACGGAAAGTGACTTAATAAATGGAACCTCGCCAGTTATTATCCTTGCTAACAGCAGGGCCCTTCTTATTTGTCCTAATTAGCAAGACTGAAATGTCGGAGGAAAGAAGGGGAATATTCAATAAAATCTAAATTATTGAATGACTGTAAGATTTCGCCATTAGTTCAGCCATTCTTTACCTTCTTCAAAATGTCAAACAAATGGGGAATGCATATTTGCAACCCTGCCCTTCTGTTCCGTGCAACTGGAGGGCATACATTAAGCATATTAAGCGTATTCAGCTCTTGATCGTTGTCAAAACACTGCAATTGCCTCGCGATTATTAAGCTCGAAATATGCAAATGAGATGTGCTCGCACGTGTTGTAGGGATGCTAAAAGTAATATTTATCTTGCGCTGGGCTAGTCTGGGGATGTGTTTGCTAAAGAGCTACTTGAGGCCCTGAAGATGCTGAACTGAGCCATTAGAGCCATGGGAAGGCTGAGGGTGGAAAACCTGTGCAGGAAAGAGTGGCAAGGAGCAGAAACTCCAAGAGTTAACTTCTGTGTGGGAATCACTCCCTCCTGAGTTGCTGATGACGGACTCCTCTTTCCTGGGAATATCCCCACTGTGGCTGTTTTTTTTTCCCACCTGAGCAATAACAGACTTTTCCAGCATCCTCCTACTGACTGGACAAAGCTTTAGAGCATCCCCAATGCTCAATGTCTACCGATGAAAGGAGGTGAGAGAGAGGAATTTCTCATCGTCTTGGCAATCTTGCCTCCATCACAGCTTTACCTGCTATTTCCCCACCTCTCTATGTACCACGATAGAGAAAGTGAACGTCGGATCCAGAGAAAACTGCTTTAGGAAACGCTGTGGTCAATCCAGGTCTCAAGGCTAGGGGAGCGTTGTTTAAAATGATGCTGGATGATATTAATAACGCTGCCCGACAAATACTGCAGTGTTGGTGAAGATGTGAATAAAACCAGGTCAGTTTTTAAAGGAAGGGTTCAGGAGGAGATGCTCCACGTCGAGATTCTGCAGCGCCGAGAAATCGCACAGATTTAAGTGGAGCTTAAAGGGTTCGGCAGCCAGCACGGTTCTACGTAGGGACAGCGGGTACAGCCCTCTTCTCTTCGCTGTCACCGTGCTTGAAGGCTGAAATGAAGCTCATTAGCCGGGCGGATGCATTTAAACGCACACCTCTGCCCCGGGGCCCACATAGGCATGGCCGATGCGACTCTCAAGACCGGTTTCCTAAGCCCAAAGAGGAGGAATTTGATCTTTTGGAGTAGGTTGAGGTGGGATTCGATGGGGTTGTGCCACACTCAGAAGGAGAAATAGAGAAATAGGCGTTTCAGGAGAGCGAGAACACAAAACAACACCCCCCTACCCCCACCCCCCCCAGGCTACGTGGGCTCCTGTCCCGGTGCTGCTCTCTCCTGGGCGAGACAGATAAGAACTGTTCTCTTATCTTAATTGTCCCACGTTCATCCTTCAGCTCACAGATAGCCCCGTGCTTGTAGTTCATCCCAATGATTCCTTCAGCGTTTCTTCGATCTCCCAAACTTTGAAGCCAGTTTTCCTTGTTGGCGTTTTCCCCTCCCCCCCTCCGTTTTTAGATTGCAATCTATGCATCATTTGGACGATGTGGGTCTTTTTTTTGGCGATAACGAAGTCAGAGACGAACACACACTTATAAATCACAAGGCCAGGAGCCACCAGGGGCATTTCTTATGCAAGACACAAACTTTCTCCGCAAAGAACTGTATTTATATTGAACTCGAAAGCAAAGCATCTGAAGACTCTGAAACACTGTGGAGCATTTTGAAGCTCTTAACTTGTATTGCCTGCACAGAACTTCCCCCAGCTCACACACAGTCTGTATCACAAGGAAAAAAAGAAGACATAGGCGCCTTCAGGAGGTCCTTATCCTTCGTGTCAAGCTCAAAGCAAGCCAAGTATTTCATAAGAAAGAGCGAAAGCCCCCCCAGAGCGCTGCAGGCTCGAGCTCCGTGGGTTCATTCCATGCCGCTAAAAGGCAGCACTCACAAGAAAAGCTTCCCTTTAAGATGAAGTCTTCATTTTGTGGGAACAAAAAGGCGAGGTTTTCTCCAGGAGGTCGGAACCCACATCCTTGCTAGCAGTGAGAGCCGGCTGTCCTCACACCTGGGGCAGGAAACTGTCCAGGGATGCGCCAACCAACACCCCGTGCATGAGAAGTCCTCTGCCACCATCAGCTCAGGGGAAAAACGTGCCCTGTTCTGTTGCTGATTGCTCTCGTTCCTTTTCTGCTTCTCAAATAAAGGCCGGAGTTTGCAGCAAAAGATCCTGAAGGCCTTCAATCCTGCACAGAACTGAGGGCTGTGGTCTGAGGACGTCTGCAAGGCACCTGCATGGAGCCAAGCAGCTGCCAAAGAAGGGATTTCCTCGTTCTCCCATCAACCAGTCGAACACTATTCTGGACAAGACGGTTTCTTTTCCCAGGAATCAACGAGCTGAATCCTTCCCACTTGCCCTCTGTCCTCATCCAGCTCGAAAAGTTCTGTTTCAATCCTTCTGATTGAAAGACAGCAGCACCACCCGGATGGTGCCTTTCTCTCTTCCTCCACACGACTGAAAACGAAGCAGTAATGAACGGCTAATTAATTCATTTCGGGGGATAAGAGGCAGAGTTCTGGCAATCTGAGAATTTCCACTTGGATGTTTTGACCACCTCCCCTCTCTCAGCTCTCAATAAAGGGTGTTTTAATGGAACAAATGACGGCATTAAGTTCGCCATGCGATGGATTGCTGCCGATAATCGGGTATTTCTTTCACCTGCGCTTTATGAAAGGATGGTGCTGAGAGCCAAACGGTCTCACACCTTCTTTATAAGGGGAATTAAACCCGCTAATAATAATGACGGTGATTTGCTGTCAGTCCCAGGGCTGAAGGGCTAAGAGGAAAACTTGGACAAGTGATTCCCGGTGCATTTGTGCGTTCACAGCATCTGCAGGCCGTGCGTTCTGGGGAAGCCCGGGTTACTTTAGGGGAGCAGAGCCCCTGTAGGGCTGTGCCAGGATCCGGAGTGGCTCTCGTTAGTCCGAGGACCACATTTCACCCCTATTCGGCTCGGATGGTTTGCTGTATTTCATGGCTATAATTTCGATCCCATCCTATGGGATTTTCCCATCCTCAGAAGGAACTGCTTCAGGACTGAACTCCGGCTTAGTTTTCGTTGAGAGGATTCTTATAGCACAACTTTTTCCTCCGTAAGGCCACAGCAGTGAGCTCTCTTGGAGCTCATCTTGAAGCTCCAAAGGACGGCTGTATTGTGATAACATCGAGCATCTCCCTGTACTGCATCAGCAGACTGAGACCGTGATGCAAAGTGATCAAACAATACGAAATAATGGATTTCAAGGATGAAATAAACACCTATCGTTCTCCTTTTTTCATTTCACAGCCATAAATCATCGTTGTGAGCACCGTTTAAATAGAATGCATTCAATTTCAGCGCGAGCACAGCATAATATAGAAAGCGCTCCTGGAATCAAACTGGAAACCGAATTCTCTTACAAAGGAAATTACATCATAGCTGCTTTGAATCTTCACGATCACCTTCTGCACTTCCTCTTGTTTTACGAAAGAAAAATGCATCCAGTTTGAGAGAACGTTTGTAACTTCAACTATTTTCTTCCTGAATGGCTCAGCATCAGCAAAGTCTGCAGAATACATGAATAAACAGAAGCACAGCAGTGGAAATAGTTTCTTCTTCTTCTTTTTATTGGAGGACGAGAGATGCAGTTGGGCAAAGCTCACTTTTTCTCTCGGGGACGTTTGAAGGTGGGAGGAGGGCTGATGCAGTTGCAGTTGCTTAACAAATGCCATCCCAACGGGTTGCATCAGCCACACCAAAGCTCTGCATTAAAGAACGTGCTTATGCCTTTCAAAGTGAACTTTTGGCCCGATTTAAGGAGGGAGGGGGAAAAAAAAGAAAAAAAAAGGGCCTTCCTGGCTCTTCTTAGAGGCTGAATAACCAGTAAATATCCTGACAAGTAACAAATGACTGTGGGCGTCATATTGTTGGGTGCTCTTGTCTTCCCTCTGCTAACAAGTAAATAAATGTTGCCTACCTATGTTTCCATTCTCTGAGCAGTGGAGTGGCCGGCCTGAAGTCAATGCCTTTCCACCTACTCATCAGATGGGCTCTGCTAAAGGAAAGCTTCAGGCTCACAACAGACTCAGGGAAAAGGTCAAAGCAGATTCGATGGAGGAAAGCAGAGCTCGAGGTTGCAGCCCATGAACCTATCGGTTACAGCCCTTAAAAACATCTCGTGTGCTCGGAAGTGGATGCGGGCAGGTCGGTACATGGGAGAAAGGATGGATAGAAAGAATTGTGGGGTTAGTAAAGAGACACAAGATTTTTAGTTCCTCTGCTCCAATTGCTAAGCCGGGCATGGTGCTCCTCCAACAAAAGACGTTCTGTCTTCCTAACTTTATTTCATCGCCTCATTAGAATACAGATTTAATTACGTTGCTTTTAACCCACACTGGCCCTACAGACAAAGCCGGGATGACGAAATTAAAGCACGTAGAACGAATTTGTCGTAGGAACTTTTAGCCCAGAAAGTTCCAAATGAGTTCAAGCCACTTTTCAAGGGAAAGTTTCGCAGTGAAGAAAAGAGCATCCTTTTGTCATCGGGGTTGTGGAGGGAGGAAGCAGTCAGACCTCCCTACCTCTTTTTTTCCCTTGTCTTCCTTTCAGGTGAAACTAAGATCTTTTTTAAGTTGAGGAAGGGGAAATTCTGGTGAAGTTGGCTAACCGCATCGCTCGGGAGCCTTTTTAGCACTTAAAACACTCGTAGATCATTCTAATTCTTCCCCCCGATCCCCTTTTCCCCATCATCTCCCCGCACCCCACCTCCCTCCTCTCTTTTAAAGTCTTTGAGGAAAGATTTTGACGTATTCGTGTTGTTATCAGATGGATGGGCAGGGTTTGATTGAAACCCCTTTGTCATGTAAATGTCATCTCCTTGATGGATGAGCTCAGAGATGTGACAAACTTCAGGAGCCCCTCGCTCATTGGGTTGGGGGCGGACCACGTGGCCCCCCGCCCCCACCCCGGCCCCGCCGAAGGCTCCGGGGTTCGAGGGCCAGCGATGCATGGAAGGAAGTTTTACAGCTTTGACATACTATCTAAAGGTTGTAGGGCAGGCGGAATCCCCCCCAAAACAGGCTGACCCTCCTCCATCAGTGGCAGATGGACAATACTAGGATGAACTCCTTCTTAGAGTATGCAATTTGTAACCGTGGGACGGGCGCCTACCACCATTTAGAGCAAAGCTCCCCTTCCTTCCCCTCTTGCTCAGGTAGCCCCTCCAGTGACACTTTTCATGGAGAAGGGCGCTTCGGTGCTGGGGGCAGCGCGGGTTCGGCCGCTCACCTCCCCCCGCAGAGCCCCGGCTTTTTCCCCTCCGCCTCCGGGCGCTCCGTGCCCTTCGCTGCCGCTGCCCCGAGCTCCGGCTACCCAACCCAAAACTGCAGCCCCGGCTACGGGCACCACCAGCTTTACCTCGGCCAGCAGGATGCAGACGGCTTGTACTTCCAGGCTGCCGGTTACTCCTCGAGCACCGGACCCCACCTCGGCTCCTTGCCGGAGGCTTATTGCGGTGCCGTAGGGCAGTACCAGCAGCAACAGCACATTTACGGGCAGGAGCAGCCCGGTTACTTGGCCGGGGTTTACGGCAACCTCTCGTCTTCCCTCAATGAGGACAAAGACCCCGCTTGCCCCTCCGAGCCGTGCCCCAATGCCAGCGCTGCGCGGACCTTCGATTGGATGAAAGTGAAGAGGAACCCCCCCAAGACAGGTGAGTTTGGGGAGCGCAAGGCTCGGCGGGGGGGTTCCCATCCTGGCTGAGAAGAAGTACGAGGGGAGTGGGGGGGGGGGAGGGCAGGACGTTCTGCAGCTACGAAATGTTGTCCTCCCCGGGGTTTCTGCTCGAGGTCATTGGGCTCCTTTGCTTGAGGAAAATGCGTTTTTATTCTTATTTTCAAGCTCTATAGTAAAAAACAGCTCGCGATTTTTCAGGCACACCTGGCAAGGGGTTCATGAGCTCACTTGCCCTCAGGCCCAATGCAGTTTAAGTCCAGCTCGGAATAGGAAACACTCCCAGTTTCCTGCTTCCTCCACAAAGGTGGCTTCCACCTCCCTCACTGTTCAACATCCTTGTCTAAAACCTTCCTTAAATCCGGAACTTCCCTCCTCTCCCCCACCATCACCCCCCCTCCCCTTCCACTCCTTCCCACGCACGTTCAAGTTTCATGGCACTTCGCAAGGAGCTGGGTTGACCGTTTGCAAGAGAAAGGAGCAGCTCTGCAAATCCCAGCAGCATTTCCCTCCGGGTTACATCCCTGGAAAACCAGGGATGGGTCAGAAGCTGCAAGAGGTGGGGGCCGAACACATAGCACAGGGGATGCCCCTTCAACCAAGCAGCTCCTGGACCCCCAGGCCCATATTGGGTCCTCCTTCTGTTGCTTCTACCCTGTCGTTTTTTGTTCCTTACAGCCAAAGTGTCGGAATATGGGCTGCTGGGCCAACCCAACACCATTCGCACCAACTTCACCACCAAACAGCTGACGGAGCTGGAGAAAGAATTTCACTTTAACAAGTACCTCACCAGGGCCCGGAGGGTGGAGATCGCCGCTACGTTGGAGCTCAACGAAACCCAAGTCAAAATCTGGTTCCAGAACAGGCGGATGAAACAGAAGAAGAGGGAAAAGGAAGGTCTCGCCCCTCCTGCTGCCTCCAGGTCCGCGAAGGAAGCGAGCGAAGCCTCGGATCAATCCAACTGCACCTCACCTGAGGCCTCCCCCAGCTCCGTGTCCTCCTGAGGACCGGCACAACGACCGGATCGGGGCTGCCTTCGAGGGCCGCTGCTCCCCGCTGCTCCCCGCAGCCCCACCCGCACAGCCCCGCACAGCCCCGGCCGCACACTCTTCCCTCCGAGCCGCCCCTTCGGCTCCGGCCGCATCCACCCGTGCGGTGCCCATTCCCCGTTTGTCTTCCTTTCTTAATTTATAGACCCTCCGTTAAACGTTGGACTCCAAAGGAGCTGCCGTGACCTCGTTTTATCCTTAGCAATAGGCGTTTGTCTCAGGGACGTTTCTCCCTTCTCCCCTTCCCAATAGGAACTGCACTTTCAACTACAGAAACTTGAAAACGAATTGTAGTTCTCTCCCGCTTTAAAGATGTGCACAACGACTTTTGTTCCCACGCATCCCGAGTTTTCTGTATTATTCCTCCCTGCGAGATGGTTAAAAAAAAAAGTTTGGGGCGCTTTCTTTTCGTTTCCCTTTTATATTTACTCTGTGTATCTCGGAAAGAGCCCAAGACGCTGAAGGTCTCCGGGAAGACCCGATAAAGAAAAGAAACAAAGCAAAAAATGCAACTCCTCTGCTGCCATTTTGCACTATCGCCGCTCTATACAGGGTTTCCTACACGCTCTCCTCCTGTATTACTGATCCTGGGGGCGAGAGCGTTGTGCTATCAGATAAAACGAGATAAGGGGAAGGCTGAGCCCGGGGTGCTTTGGGCGACGGTCATTGCCGCACCGAGTGTGAACGCGCACGGGACGGAGGCCGGGGGGGTCCGCACTGACTGCTATTTATTGTACGTCTCGATAACCTCATGTCCTGGAGTGAAGCTGCACGGCTCCTCGTATCCCCACCCCCCTTAGGCTTATCGGAGTCCGATAAAAACATTATTAACCACGGCCAGTTGTTACCCTTTGCCACCAGAAGCTTTAGCGCAGGGCGAAGTGAAAACCAAGGAGAGTTTCGTTAAAGATTGTTATAAAGAGATAAAAGGTCATCCTGAAAAGCCTGCGGTTTCTTAATAGGAATCTTTTTTTTTTTCCCCCTCCACTCCCTTTCCCTGTTTTTCGAAATGAAACTACCTCAGTTTAATAAAGTTTACTTTTTCCACATTCGAGTCCTGTTGGCTCTAAGCGGAATGGCGATTTCCCCCACCCAGGGAAATGCACGGGGAGGGCAGCAGGGCTCGGAGGGAGGAGGAGGAAGGAAAAGGTCTCCGGTTGCTGCCAAAGCTTCCAAGCCAAGTGTTCCATCTTGCTTCCTGGGGGGACTCTATGGCCCCCACCCCCGTTATGGCACCCGCAGCTGCGCGATCGGAACCGGGCAGAAACGCGTTGCTCCCTACCGGGAGTTATTTGACGACATAAAGTGCAAAAAAGGGCCTGATGAGAACAGAAAGTTATCATCATCCTCATTATCAGCATCCTGGCAAGGAAGCACATCTGCATTACTAAAGCAGCGACATTAACTGGAACGAAACTGGGGGTCGGGGGGTGGGGGAGAGGCGATTTTCTCAATTATACAAAACAATTCCTTAAAGCTTGACCCAACCCCGAAGAGAAACGAAGTGTCACTTCAGTTTTATGTCCTCGGCTTCCAAAGGCGGTCCCCGAAAGCAAAAGGGGTGTTTTGCAAAGCACAGACGCACACGGGAGCGGGCGGAGGGCCCGAACCTCCCTATGCCGGGTGCGGAGGGAGGGGGCCGAGGTCCGGATATAGCTCTGACCTTTTTACCTCGAAACGCCTCTGGGATTTCTAAACAAGTAAACAGAGGGGCTGCCAGAAGAAACTATTGTTCTGGCTTCGTCAAATTTGCAAACCTTTTTGGTGAGGGCAGGAATGAACCCAGTACCTGCTGCATCTGCAGCCCTGCCTGACCAAGTCCGGAGGCGATGAGCGTCACTCTACCCTGGCAGCACAATCCTGCCTCGGGTAATTCACCTCTCTGGCTCGGAAGAAAAGATGTGCAGTGTCCAATTAGCTCAGAGATAAGAGGAGGGGAAAAAAAGAAAAAAAAAAAAAGAGGAAAAGGTGAAAAGGGGGTTTGGTTGCACTATAGCGGTTTGCAAAACAACCGGAGTGAGATCCAAAAGTAAAAACGCAGCCACGCTCGTTTCATAACGTGTTGGCCACGAGTTCAGCTTGCTTTAACCTTTTCGTTGAACCGATGCGATTGAATTTGTGTGATTTAAAGTTTCTCGTGATTGCGCTCATGGGTTTCCACTGGGATGTTTTTGTTCCCTGTTGTGTCTTCACCTCCGGGCTGGGAAGGGGCCGGAGCTCCCCTTCCCCCCAGGTGAGCACGAATCGGTGCACAGCGAAGGATCGGGGAAGAGCGAAAAGTTCGGGCCAAGAGGAGATGCCCGAAGTGCCGAAGTCGGGCACAACAAAGGCACCCGGCTCCCATTTGAAACTCAAAGGGAATCTCCGGAAGGATCCTCAAAAAACGGTGCCGCTGCTCCTTACATATGTAACCCCCTCCGGGCTTTCCCTTCACCCCATTCCCTTTGCTTCCCTCGTTGCCAAGCCGGGTTCCTTTCACAGCGATCATCTCACGCAACTCAGATCTCTTTCCCCCCAACTCTCCCTCCGAGTTTCTCACGCTCCCTTTTGTCTCCAAAGCTCGAAACTCACTGCTGGGAATCAGGAGCCGCCTGGAAAGGCCAATTCGGGACAGCTTTGGTCAGGATCTGCTGTAACAGCCGCTTTGGGGAGCAGAGAGAGACTGTCGTGTCTGCCCAACGCTCCGAGAAAGGGGTAAAAGGGAGCAGAATGGTGATGTCCACACGTATGAGTAACCCTACGCGGGTGTCTTGATGGGACACGAGCTCCTTTTCTCATTAAAGTCCATGGATGTGAGCTACAAAGGCAGAGATGCCCTCTAACATCCCCTGCTCTGCGTGCGGAGTTCCCAGTCGATATTCAGCCCTGTCACCGCAGCTTGATTTTATGGCACATCTGAGTTCTGCGCATATAACTGATACACAACGACGTGGCTGTTCCCATATCTCCACGTGTGTCTCTCCGTGGGTCCGTGGCAGGGAAATTAGCCAAATCCCCCTACGCGCTTCCAAACAAAGCCGCGTCTTAATGGAGATTAATGCCTTTAATATCCCAAAGGAAAGGGAAAACCCCAGTTAAAGCGGAGTAACCTTGTAAATTATTAACGGCAGACTCTGTGTTGGAGCTGTTGTCCCCCTGCGGGAGGAGGGGACAGAGAAGGGACGCGGATTGCCCCTCTCTCTGCTCCCAGACCCGAGGGGCAAAGCCGATGACCGCGGCGGAAACCCCGGGGCCATCTGTTCCTTTACCCCTTGGTGTGAAATGTTTCTCTTAAAGCATTTGTTCTCACAACGCGAGGCCCTTTTGATCTCAAAAGAGGACATTCTATTAAAAAAATAGTAATAACAATAATACCCCGAAGACTTCCTTACTTTCAACTCCGTTTTGCTGGCTGCTATTAATTCTGTTTCCAAAGCCTGTTCGCACTTAAGGTGTGAAGCTTTCCCGGGGGTCTGTTCGGGAACAAACCTTCCCTCGGAGGGTTCTGGCTGGGCTGGGCAATTGCCGAGCCCTAAAAGCCTTTCATGCCTTGAAGTGAGGGAAAACAGGGCTCGAAGTCTTCCGGATTTTTGCAAGCTTGTTTCGAGCATAAGAAGTCCAGGAGCCTCCCCCACCCTGGATCTCAACAAAACCAGAGTGGGACTTCTGCAAGCAGCACTGGGGCAGCGAAGTATCCACACACTTGCTTGCACCCTAACATTGCCAAAGGTAAAGCGAAAGGGATTTTCACGCGTGTTTTCTCAATGCTTGTGAAGCGAGCACGTTTTTAGGCGTCTCTGCCACGTACGGAGGATCGGGCAGAAGAGATGCGGGGAGCGATGGGTGAGTGCAGCTCCTACAGCCCCCACCGGGATGACCCCCACCACGCAGCCCTGCAGCACCCGAGGAGATGGGCATACGTCTGTTTCTCCGGGTTATACACGTTTACAGACGGCCGAATTCGTTTGTATTTATACCCAACGGACAGCGTATTTGGTTTGGAGGTTGAGGCTGCACAGGTCACCTGGGTTGAAGTCGGGGCAGCTCCGTCCTGTTATTTCGTGTCGGATATCAGCTATAAACCCACCTCCCACCCCTCCCTGCTCATTACACCGAAAGGAACACTCGACGGCGCGATCCCCTTCCTTCTTTCATTCCCTTCTGCCCCCCCCGGCTATTCTCTTCCACCAACACAGGCATTTCAGCGCCGAGCAGCCCCAGGGTTGCATTAGCCTCTTAGGCAGGTGAAATGAGGTCTGGGGCAAAGGGTTGGGGTGGAAGGAACAATCGCAGAAGCGAGTGTACAAAATGTTTCCTCGCTCTTCAGAGGGCTCACCTATCCTTTCAGTTTACACTGGTCTGACAGCTCCATTTCAATCCCAGCCTTCACACGGATTTGTTCAATATTTACTCAGGCTGATGGGTTTGCTCAGAACTTGCCTCTGTCAGCCTTGCTCTGTCGGGTTCCCTTCCCCTCGGGCTCAGGTTCACACAAAGTTCAACCTGAAATGAATTCACCCAAAGATGGGCCCAGCTTGGCCCGAGGACCAGAGATGGGGTCAAGCCTCGGTCTCTGTGTCCCAGCCAGCCCTCATGAAGGCAACACTCAGCACTCCCGGCCAGGAGGCTGCTTTGAAAAATTATTTGGGGTTAAAAAAGAAAAAGCGTCGGGCCACGGAGGACACACCAAGAAAAGCAGGAGCTGCTTTTCAGTGCAAGGAGCACAGGTCAACCCTTCAGGGAGGGTGCAGAGTTCATGGACGTTTACTCTGCCCAGGGGGCTGTGTGACAGGGAAGGTAGAACTGCAGTAATAACTGCAACAGGGAGGGAAAACGAGGTGTGTGTCTGTATGGATATGAATATGCAGGGTGTGTATGTACGTCTATGCACTCTATATGTTACAAATTAACGTATTGTCTGCATTTAAATCATATATATTATATAAAGTCGTATTTATGTATGGGCAAGTAAACCC